CACTGAATATGAATTTACTTGCATTATGGATATCTTGATCCATATGAACTTTAGTCCTAGGATCAATGATCTATAAGTATTGATCAGCCTTACAATCATTTTTGAATGCTTTCCTAACCTCCTTTATTACTGTAATCAGCATATATTTAAGATAAGACATCTGTAGACCGCGGACGCTTGTCCATATCGACCTTACGGACGATAACATAAAGTGGTTCTATACCTTTTATGATTTCATTCATAATTTCTTAAAATCTAGAAAAAAGAATGGTCTTTTCCATCTTCTTTTCATCGCTCAATCTCGAATACCTGAAATCAGACCATTCGTATGAGGTGACCATTGCCTTGAGGCCCTTCCTCTTTTGTTGTAATGACTTTAAAACAATAAAATTGGTAACAAACCGAGTGATTCCAGGTCAGAGTGTCTCACTATTTAAATACTTTTGCATTAAAGTGTAGACCTAATGATGATTATATATAAATTTTGTAATTGACTATACTCAAGCTACACACTTGATGACTGATGCTAGCTCGCCAATATCTTTCAGCATTAGATCCATACAATGAGCTGCATATGAAGTCCAAAACAATGTTTTTCTTTTTTCCATCAATTGTAAACAGGCCCTCTTAAAATTCGCTCCATTATTGATGACTATTTGAACAATGTATTGTGATCCGATCTCCTCTACTATGGTGTCAATCAAGTTTTCAATATAGTTTGCATCTTGGATCTTGTCAGAAGCATTAACTAACTTATGAAACACCACCCGTCTGTTACAGTAAACAAGAAAATTGATGATACTCATTCTTATCGGTCCTGTCCAACTGTCACACATTAGTGTCACCCCATATTCGTCTCATTGCCTCTTAAAGGATTTGAATAAATCCTTCAATTCTACCACATCCTCATGTAAATACACATCGTGAATCTCCCTCGGTGTTGGAAGTTGGATCCCCGTGCCAGACTTTTGAATAGAAAAGACCATGCTTTAGTAATATGGACCTTAGGCTGTGTTTGCTGGAATCCTATAGAAGTTGAACCATTTTGAGAATGTCTGCCCAATATCCCGCTTCTTTTCTTTTGTATATGCATCGTCAATCCTTGTCCGTTTCGCTGTTTGTGGTGGATAGACTTGCGGATCAATATCAATAATATGTGGTGCGAACCTCCTACCAAGACCTCTCATAAAATCATAGAGGCCACCATGCCTCATGCTACTAGTTCAGCTTAACTGAGGAGGGACAGTTGACTGCCTCATGCTAGTCGACCTCTGGATTTCACTACTACCGTCATATTCCCATTGTGAGTCAGGTCGTCGATGCCTCATTGCTTCCTCGTACATATACTGATGCTCTAGTGATGCACGAATACCAACTGTGAGATTTTGATTGATTTCATCACTGCGACCCTCAGAGTCGCCATAAACTGGTTCCTGCATAACCCTATAGTATTCCTCCTTAGCTCTTGCCTTCTTTTTTATTGTATCTTCTCTTGCTTGTTGTAACTTGTTTTGAAATGATTTACGGACCTCCGTTGGAACCTTCTTGCATTTTGCAACATTGGGATACCGACCGACCAAATGCATTTTCACCCGAGTGATTCCTCCACCTTTGCCAATGTAGTCACAATAAATACGTTACCGATTATGACGATTCTCATCCATCTTTCAGGCATGAGCCCAAGCGTCATCATATGGTTGTTCCTTTGATACCATATTCCTACCAAATTTAAATCAAATAAGATATAAATATGTAAAGCACCCTAATTGGTATTAAAGACATTGAATTGATTCAATATCGATCAAATTTCAATTAAATTATCATTAAAACCACTAATCACAACATTAAATAACTTTATTAAAACCTAATTAAATCTATTTTACTATCATAAAAATGTTAAACACATAAAAAAACATTAAATATGTAATTTTGATCCAATATAGGTCAAATTACGATAAAATCATCATTGGATACACTAATCACACAATTAACATAGTTAATTATCCACTAATTAATTCTCTTTCAACACTATAAACATATCAAACACCCTAATAGGTATTAAAGACATTAAATTGACCTAATATCAATCAAATTTTGATTAAATCATCATTAAAACCACTAATCACAACATTAAAAAACTTTATTAAAACCTAATTAAACCTATTATACCATCACAAACATATAATCCAATACTTAATATACATGAATTATAAGCATTTGACCTATTAAGTGTCTAATTTCAAATAAATCAATATTAAACATACTAATCACAACATTAAGGACCTTAATTACTCTTTAATTAATACTATTCTACCATCAAAAGTATATTAAACAACATATTAGACATTAAGTCATACATCACATAGAATAGGCTTAATCATCTTATAAATCATTAAAAGTCTAGAAAGAGAATGCATACCTTTTGATTAAAAAGTTTTTCCTCTTAATCCTTCCAAATTAACCTCCTAAATTTGATTCAATCCACAAATCGTTGCTTCGTTGAGTTTAGGAGAGTGAAAATGTGAGAATAAAAGAGAGATTATGAGTAAACATGAGTTTGAGAGAGTTTAAGAGAATGCAAGAGTGAAATGGATTGAAAGAGGGGGAAGGAAAGGATTTAAAAACCTTTTAGGATGCCTCCAGCGATCAAATTAACTATTGGAAAACCATTATTAATCGGTAACGGTCGCCCGGTACAACCCCACATCGCCCGATACGGGTCAAAAACCTAAGACCGCTCGGTAGCAGGTGGTCTGCATGCCGATCTACTGACGGACTGATACGTACCGCCCGTACCAGGCGATACAGTACGAAATTAAAAACTTAGGTCGTTGTATGTCTTTAAATAATCACTGTCAAACTACACAATAAAGAATCACTAAGATATATTTTCAATGGATGGGAATAATTTCAAAGAACACCTTAAAAACCATCCATGTAGAATAGTTGCATTGGAAGGACTAGTCCTTGCATTTCAATGGACGAGAACAACAAGAACACCTTAAAAACCATCCATGTAAAATAGTTGAATCAGAAGGACTACTCCCTGCATTTTTAAACCCAGTCGTGGTATTTCTTCTAACACCACCAATGCAGGCCCCAAACCTAGATGAAAAAGTTGGAAGGGTTTGTTAGGTCACTGAACATGAGCCAAATAGTTGGGACCTACAGCTTTGTTGTTGATAATGTATTTCTTCAAAGAATCACTGTCAAACTACACAATAATAGTCACTAAGATCTTCTTAGTAACTGTGTCGTATCAAATCAAAGTAACGGCCAACAGAAATCTACTATCCATAAAATATAGCTGGAAGTGTGGAACACTTCCCTTATTCTGGAAAAGCAAACTGCATGCACCAAGTGATCCCTATCTCAGGAACTCATCATTTCCTAGCCTGATAAACAATCACAGAGCCATGTGGATGATTACTCATGTTTCCTGTCTGTATCTCAACGACAGAAACAATATTATTCCAACCCCAAAGCGAAGATGGATATCAAAGTCAACTACTCGGTCAAACATAAAAAAAATGAATCTCAAGCTCACAGTCAGCAACTAAAACGATTGACGGCGGAGCGAATAAATAAACAGGCCGACCAAATTAGAAGAAGATACCTCGTCGAGGCAGGCGCACAACGCGATCAGGGACGAGACGAACTTTGCGCCCTCCGGCCGCTAGGGCTTCAGACCCCGGGTCCGGTTAACCGACGTGGGGCGGAACGGAAGTATATCACGGGGTCCCCGTTCTTCTGGTCCTTCACCACCTTGTAAGGTTAAGTTGTACCGAAACCGGGTCGTCACACGGACGGTTCGCGCAATCCGACCGGTTGATTTCAGCCGTTGGATTGAACAGCGATGGGAGCACTTCAACCCAGTAGAATTATATTGACTGGAAACCATCATGTTTGTTTGACTTTGAGATGAGATTATTATGCTACAAGTATGGATTAGGGAGAATTTTAGGATGCAGAAATCTTAATCGGTTTGGTTGATATAAGATGCAGAAATCTTATTTTTATGTATAGGGAGGGATGAGAGTTTGTAATTGATGTGGGAGTATATAAATGATTTTGAAGCACTATTTTTAATGTAATTTAGGTATCAAAGCAGCACCATTTTTTTCTAGAAGTGGTACCAACGAGGTTCTCCTTCGTAAGGGGCTTGTTCGAAAGATTCTAATGCTATGATGTGGACAAAAGATCGTTTTATTTTCTCCCAAATAGGGTGGTGGTATTTCAAGCTCTACAAAATATATTCTCTTAGTTTTGCTCTACAAAATATATTCTCATTTCAATCTTCCACATTAAAAAAATAATTACTCCCATCAAAAATTGACAATTGAAAAATTAAAATGATCAAATGTCATATGTTGAATCTTTAAAGTTAGATTTGAGCACAAATGAAGGAGCAAATTAAGTGATATTTCGACTATCAAGGATACCATGTACCAACTTTGTAAGATGTAAAACTAGGTTCACAAGGTGCTAACAACTCAGGCTGAGGACGACGACGATGGTGCAGATGAGTGCCATAAGTTTTGCAAGGCACTGAAGCAGATAGAATCACAAGAACAATGAAAATAGCTACATTTTTGTACTTGAGAAGGTACAAAAGAGATCGATCGCTACATCAATGGAGCATTCTGGCTACAGTCGTTGCATGAACTTCACAAGCAAGTACTGGATCTACATTCACTAACCGACATGAATTAAAGAAGGCGTAGGAAGCTCTGACCTGTATTCTTCGGTGTCTTTTTAGCTCGATGCATAAGAGATGAACAGCATCCGACATCTTGCTACTTTAAACTGCACAGTAAAAATTACAAGAGGTTTTAGACAGAAACAAGTATTGTCTCATGGATATAGTTTTGACTGGTTTTACCTTCCAGTCATTCCATAGCTGTGCTTAAAGTGAAAGCTTTATGGTCTTGCATGGTCAATAAATAACTTTCTTGTATGGCAAGAGACAAATTCAAAGTGTAAATTTGTGACAACAAACAGATGGCAACATTAGATACAAAATAATTCACATTACAAACAAAGCCCAATTTACAATATTTCTTTACACAACACACAAGTTATGACCTATAGAATGCTGAACAAAAATGGTATCCTCCATTTATGTTGTTCCCGTCTCATGAAACCCACTCTCACATGGATTCTAAATCTCCAGGCTCGTTTCCTTGAGCGTTCTTCAGCTTAGCCATTAGAACCCACATGTTTGCCAGTTCATTCTCCAAAAAGGTCTCCCTTTGTTTGGATTCCTCCACTTTCTTCTGAAGCTCTGCTTCTCTCTTTTCCTTTTCCTTGAGTGCAGCTTCTAGCTCTCTTTCACGGCTGACAATTTGTTCCCTCTTGATAATTGGTTCATGCCGTTTTACATGGCTATCTCTTTTGGTATTCTTTGGTCCATTGCTTACCCTCCGCTGACCAGAGTTTCTCATAGAGGCCAATTCAGCAGCCAACCTCTCATTGTGGTTCATGAGCTTCGTGACTTCCTCTGATAATGCCTTCAACTCCACACCTGCAGCTGAAGCCAACCCTTTTGCATATGCACTCTCCTCAGCCAACTTCTGATTTCGTGCTTCTAGTTGGGTTTTTGCATCACTTAATTCAGATACCTTCTGTTTTAGCTCTTGAACTTCAGATACCTAAGGGGTTACATGAAAAGTATAATAAAATTAAACGGTAATTGGCTCTATCCAGAATGTGATGTGTCAGAAAGCAAATTATATTGCCTAGGGAACCATCATGAACAAAAAATTATTAACTTTTTGTGACTATGACAATATTATATGTTAATCTCATTCATATTCTAACCAAACGAGTATACCAGGCTAGAAGAACTTTAGGTTTTAGTTGTTGCAAAGAAATAATGGAACAGAAAATGAAGCATGGTGAAGCAAAAACTTGTAACATGTGACATGACAAATATATTACTTGTATATTCAAGACTTTTATGGTGGATTATGTGTCAAATAACTGATGATTATTTAGAGCCCAAATGGACCCCAAAGTTCAAATTGATACTAGATCATTTGGTTTAGGAACCCTGTAGTAAGCCAAAGTCCCATGTAAAAACTCCTAATGTTGATGCATGCAATTAGGAACAAACTGCCAAGAAATCTTTCAATTCTAAAGAGTAGGTGACCAAGACAGGATGAAGAACTGATGTTCAATGGATCACAAGAAGGGGTAAAAACAAATATTAAATAGATAAAATCTAGAGATAAAACACAAACAAAACATTATAACAAACGACAACTATAAAATTGCTTGTAGCCATTAATACAGCCATGCAGATGCCAGGAGCTAAACTTGCGACATCATGAATAGTAGGATCTGCTGAAGTGTTCATCTGATAGCAATACACAAGATTTCAATTTTCAATAGAGTTTTCAAACAGTTCTCGATGTAGGCTATATTTTAATCAGGGACCAGATTGATGGACCTGATCTAAATATTCTATAACGAATATATAGAAAATCAACCTGTTTTGATACATATATATTGCTGATCAAATTAAAGAATATTTTTAATGAAGCATATCTTTAATTTGGAGCCAAAATGACCAATTTGAGGTGATGCATTACATCTCAACAGGATTCTAGCTCAACTCTCTCTCTCTCTCTCTCTCTATATATATATATATATATATTCTCTCTCAGTATATTTTAGATTTAAGTGGTTTTTTTTATGGTTTTATGAATCAAACATATAGGACAATGGGTGTTTGTACTTTGTAGACTATGAGCATTTACAGTTTATACAAATGTATAAGCAATAAATGGTACCAACCAAATGTGCCTGATGTAGGAACTTTGCAGAGACATCTATTGATGGTGCTGACTCCATAAAGTTTGTTTGTTCACAAAAGTACTGTGATTTGACACTCACTGAGGAGAAATCCTTCATTTCAACTGTTTGGACAAGTTGTTGTTTCAAGGAAGCAATTGTTTCTTGCAGTTCTTCGCATTCACATATCTGGTAAATAGAGATTTGAGCATCAGAGTATATAGCTGGTCATCAGAGAAACAGAAGAAGCTAACAAAATTTTTAAGTCCTTGTACAATAAACCTTTTGCTGCAGGTGATCCTGTATTATACTGTTGTCTGCAGTCTTTACCTGAAAAGAGTTACTCCTGTGTGAGCTTAGTTCAAAACTTCAAATAATGCACTGATATGTACATGACTACATTCTGAAAAGATTCTTCATGAATGTCATGTTTAACCAGTTAAATGACTGATAAAGCAGAAAGACAGATAAATAAGACATACAATTTGAAGCATTACATGTAAGGTACCAAAAGACACATTTGTTTGCTAAAAAAAGAGTGCTCAACAAAAATGAATGAGTACCTCCAGTTCAAGAGATTTCTCATTTAGTTGTTCTAGTAGTTCAGCATATGACTGAAAAAGGGAAAAAACACCATCAAATGTAATTAGGCAGAATAAAAAACCAGTAGTATACAAAAGATCAAGGAACTAGATCTTACTGGTGAAAGCCCCAATTTGCTCATTCTGTTTTGAGTCACTGAGATTGAATTTGCCATCTGTTTTTCCAGAGAAGCTATTTGCTGGTTCTTGGCCTTTATCTCTTCACTGGCCTTACTCATCTCCATCTTCAAGTTCAAGAATTACCACATGAAGTGTTGGTCTATCACAATTTTGTTTAAGGGAATAAAAGAGAGAATAATTACTTGAATTCGTTCATTCTTTGGGTTCTTGGCAGCTTCATCTGAAAGTCGGTTTAGAACACTTGAATGAAGTGCCACTTCTCCAGCAAGAATTTTTAATTGCTCTCTGAGCAATTCAACATGATCTATTGTTTTAATGGTAATCTGGTAACAAATAAAGTATGAAAATTAACAGATTTCTGATAAGCAAACCATTTTCTTATGCACATAAGAATGGACAAGAAGCACAAACCACCAGAAAACTCCCAATTAAAAAAAGAATAAATTTATTATTTTATTGCTTCTGGTGAACTTCCCACTAGTTCCTAATGACAAATAAGTGTTGGTAGTTGGAAAAGAATTTACAAAATCTAAGCTATTCCTATCTTTAACCAATAACACCAACATACACATTGTGAAAGAAAAACATAAACAATCAAATTATGTCTTCAAATTATTATGTTGCTTGGTTTCTGGGAGATTTACTCTTTATCCTTCTTGTATGCCATAGGACTGATGCATGTTTACCATAAACCTAATGAAGTTACTCCATTTTCTTGTGTAAAATAGTTATTCAGTTCCTACTGTGATTTGTTAAACTAAATAAGGATTAGTTACAGAATCCAACACATTTTTGACTTAGAATACAAGGAAAACTTGCAGCATTATCGTGCTATTTTAGAAGTTTTTGAAAATTTGTCTTTTCCTTTCTCCAATCAAATTTAATTATAAGAGATTGTTGAACAACTTTCTTGTGAAATCCAGTAATTTAATTCCAGAAAATTCAGTACATGTTCTTTTTTTTCAGTTTTCATCTCTAATAATAAGTATTTAGTCATTAATGTAGTACTGACTCCCAAAGTGTTAAATATTGATCTGAGACCATTTCAGCAACTTAAACTAGTATGGTCCTAAAATACAAAAAGCAAGGTTTGCAATACTATGGGTATGGTTCAGTAAGGTCATATTTACCAGTCTGATACCCACCAACATGCAGACTAAGGTAAACCAGAACTGTATTCCCCTTTTTTTGTCCTTTTTGTGATTTTCTCAAAACTCAGTACATACCAACAGACTGACACTGTTGGTACTACTTGTGTATCACTGAAAAAACATGGTGGTACATCAGGTTGAACTGAGCCATATGGTCCATTTGCTGGTGAATAGTTGGATTGGTATTTACTTGTACAGTTGGTTATTTAAAGTTTAAACCCAATGAACTTTGTATATATTAGCCAAATTGTTTATTTGTATGTTCAAATTATTAAAAGTTCCCTACTAAAAAGGGCCTAGACAAGTGTCTGTCTATATGATGAATGAAATTGGATGAATATCCTTGATGTAACTTGTAGTTAAGTATTTGCCACAAAGAGTGATATTCGAATATGGTACCTATATGGATGGAAAAGGTACTGATATTGATTGACTATAATATTTATGAACAAGCTCACTCAGAAACCCAAGCCAGCAGCTCTAATTTCTCTTTTTTAATTGTTTAAATTCTGATGAAACTATACAATAGGCTTTTCTTTACCAATTTTCTATTCATTAAAATAGGACTCTCAGCAATGTTAAAAGCAGGAGTGAAATTTAAGAGAAGTGTAATATTCTTTTCTGAATAGCTGCACAAGTGATTAACTTCAACATTGTTGGTCAACCACCACTTGACAATATATAACAAATTTTAAGGAGCAAGTAATGGATATATTAACAACAATATTGTGATACAGACATAAACAAGTTACCTAACTATCATGAATAAGTTTGTTTGTAGGTTTTCATTTATGATATCCTAATATCATACAACTAATTAGTGTAATATTTCAAAATTTAGTTTTCAAATAAATATCCATTTTAATTAAATGGAGTTTACAGCAACCATATCAGAAGACACGATATTGGATAGTTACTTTCATTGCATACCAGAGGTGTCTCTTGGAAAGAGAGATCATCAGCATGAAGTTCTCTATCATGGACCACATCAAGTAGATCATCAGGGGGAATACTTTCTGGAATTATGGAATTCGATATTCCAGGTTCTGAAGGGAAGTTTACACTTTCTGCTTGAGGAGTAGAAGGTGTAGTGTATGACTTTGTAACACTTGATTTGTCACCATCTGAACTTGTCAACGTTGTCAAACCACTATCTCGTTTCTGGAAAAAAGAAAAACAATCAAGGACATGCAACAAAAAGATAGCATAATGGTAAAACAGCATCAACTAATCATCTTTACTAGATTATGTAGCCATACTGACAGAACTTGAAGAACCCGAGAAATGTCAGAGCTATAAACAGGGATATTTCAAAAATTGCCTATCATGAACTTGCCAAATATATTTTACATATTGTTATTAATCATACACTTCGTGGATACATGCTTGATGTTTCCTCGGAGGTTTTTTAACTGTCCAGTAGAAGGCTTGTACCAATTTCCCTGCTCCATGTACCAGAGGCTATCAAACTGCAAATACCACCCGTATCGAACCATATTGGACGGTATTGCAGACCTTATTTTTCATAAAAGTTAATTTTAACAGATAAACACCCCCTTTTTAGCTAATAAGATCTTTCAGAAATTGAGAATGAATTCATCATGAGCGTTAAACATTGGATAAATCACAATTATAATAAGTACAGTGAAAATCAGTTCAGAAGCCCAGCCTTTAGTTTAACTAGTTTCAACAAATATTTTTTTAAAAATTGAGAAAATAAAGGAGATATTTAAAATCTGGTCTCGTTTTAGATTATGGTTGGACCATGGAGTTCCACCTTTTCCAGCTTCAGCTTTCACTCTGAGTCTCAGAACCAAAATCATAAAATTCTAGACTCAATTGTGTAGTTTAGTATCATTATAAGTAAATTTTCATAATCTTTAGACTTTCAGTTATGCTGCTTTATCAAATATGTACTATTAAGCATGTGAGTCAGTGTGACAATCATTGTAGTAAAGAATTAACTGCCAAGTTTACTACTGAACATAAAAGAGAACAATGTACTAGCATACATATAAGAATGGCATATTGGCACGATAAAAATCTGAGAGAAATGCAACCAAATAATTGGCCTAGCACAAGTGTCCATTGATAGGCTGACATGTCTCTGAAATAAGGTCCTTGCCACCGAACAGAAAGTCTAAATTTTAATTGCTAAAATCTTAGAATATGAAATTCAATGAAGTATGAACTTTTCAAGAAGAAGCTAAATAGGAGTTCCATTCAGACAATTATGCTATATGGCTTGATGCTATATCATATTTTTTTACGACAGATGTAAACTTATCAATTTCAATTAGCGCTAACTGCTGAAAATGGAGAATCAAAATGTACCTGTGGTTTTAAATACTGGCAGGCATGATGCATACCTACTGGTATTTAGTGGTCCGAGCAAGAACCAGTATTGGATCATATAGTCCAGGTACTGGCCAGTATTTAAACTTTTAAATTTTAATAATTTCATTAGTTAATACAGGATGGTATGGGTCGGTGGTCTAACCTGTACCTATGTGATAAATTATTGTAAATTACTGTAACTCTGATTTAGAATGTTGCCTCTACCTATGTGATATAGTTATGTATGTGCTCTAAGCATCTGTTGTTCACTCTTTATCATTGTCATTGTCTGCTGATAGACTTTTTAATAACTATCCTATTTTCAATTTTTCTTAATGCAATTACATTGTTCTGTTGCTTCCTGTATAGGATGATAGCACTAAAAGGTGCAACAAGTTCACTTGTTCATAATAAAGAAATCAGGTAATGAAAGTCAACATAAATCAAGTGACACAAGGAATTCCAATTATATTGACAAGTAAAAAGAAGTTCCCTAGCTTGAACCATCAACTCAGCTGTTCATACCCGTAGCTTGAACCAATTTAGGAGTCCATGTTTTTTGTTCTTTTTCTCCTCTTTCAAAGCATCATCATTAGTTTCACCAAATCCTTCAAGTGGAGCATAGAAGACACCATTTTCATTATCTAATATCATATCTCGTCTCCGATATGGGAGATAAGCAAGCTGCAGGATGACATAATGTTCTAAATTAGATCATCAGAGAATCAATGGAAAAAATAATTAAGTGTTCAATTGATATTTTGAACAAAACAATAAGAAGGGAATAGTAAATTATCTATTCAAGAATTCATGTGCATAGATTTATAAGACTCCTGACCTCCTCTTCTCCAAAAGAGTGTCTTCGCCTAGGAGCAGCATGTGGAGGAAATATTGGAGACTGGTTTGTTTTTGTAGAAACCAAAATTAATTTTGTCAAACGTTGTATCCTTCCCAGTAAAGCAGCTTTGGCTTCTTCTTCCTGTTCCAGCCTTGACTGTAGCTTGACATGACCATCCTCTAGCTTTTCATGTTAAAATTTGCACTAGTCAAATTGACACTGAACAGTAACTAAAGAATTTAATTCTAGGAAGTCACTGAAACCATAGTCCCACTTACAGCTGTTAAGTAAAATATAAAAATGCATAAATGGTGCAGCACCAGACTTCCAAAGAGTAGTATGACATAACTACAACAAATAGGTTTTCATATAATAGGTCGATGTGATGTCTTTTAAACTAGAATTAACCAAAGAAGAAATTTAATCTATTGTTACATCTAACATGTGTTTAATAGGTACATGTAGCTGACTGAGGCAAAATTTTCATTTCCTTTTTCTTCCAATTAGTTATTATCTTCTAATCTATTCCGGTTGTAAAATCGCACCATCCTACACATTTGACACTGAAAATTTCATACCTCTAATCTTTATTGTCGCTAGCATATCAATAATAAACTACATATCAATATTTATTGAAAATATTTAATAAATTATTGGAAAAAGGGACAAAATAGACTGGTTAAAAAGCTTAGGAACTTGAACCTCTTACTATTTTTTATGCCACTTTCAAGGACCTTTTATTTTTTTACCTTAGTCATTTTTACCTTCTAAAGTATTAACAATGAAACATGAATAACTAATATACCTATATGAGTAGGTGGGACTTTCCAGATAACATGGACTACTAACAGTCGTACTTTTAGAAGTTGGAACATGTTAAGATCAAATCCCAAACATTGATACACTGACTCTGAAACAAACCATAAATGTATGTCCCAAGTGGAAGTGTGGAACAGTTATTTTCTCATCATAAGACCTTAAAATACAAATATATTGTACCTAAAATGCTAGAAAGTTTTCATGGAAACCTTCTGCTCCATAGAATTCATCCCCAAGACTAGATGAAAGACAAGCGCCTAGTCTTCGATCACTGAATGTCTGATACTTGATACATGACAGTGACTAACAACTTTCACTAACCAGACTATAAATTCAGTGACCTTAAATCATCATGAAGGAATAACCATATATCTACATTAACAGAAAAGCTTTGGTGTCACTACACATTTGAATATAGGCCTTGTTGGTGGGTTAAACAACACACAGACACTTGAAATTGTTTCCCACATCGTTATTAGATATGTGCTGCTATGAGTCATCGAAGAAACTTTTGCCTAAGGCAACATTATGATTCTTCATGGAGATGTGTCAGAATAATTAATTCTCCAAGTTTGATTGACTTCAATTGGTGCAGACCAGTTCTAGCTGACTTTTAAGTTTTAACTGTAATATCAGAAAACCAACCAAATAAGAACCAGTGATTTAAAAAACACTATGCGCCAAGGTCAAAAAATGCCCGAGGCACTAGGCGCTCGCCCGAGCGAAACAAGATGCTAAAATATAAAAATATATAATATAATTAAGAAATATAATTATTTAAATAAAAATATGATATTAAATTAAGAAAATCTTGTAAAATTACAATATCACATTAACAAAAAGTCTCAAAATTCAAAACAATAATAATAATTTTAAATAAATAAAAATTAATAATATTAAAATCAAAAAAATATATTATTAATCTAATAAATAAAAATACTATTACTAGTATACAGTTAGTAGTATATTGTTAATAGTATACGAAGTGAGAAGAGTGTGAGTAAGAGAAAGATCGAGGTTGCTAACTGAGAGCAGCGACAGCAGTAGCGGTAGCAATGAACAGCAACAGCGGGAGCGGCAAGTGACGACAGTGGCAGCGATAGCAGCGAGCAGCGAGATCCGGAGTGGGAGCAAGAGCGATGAGCGACGATGGTGGCAGTGGCAGTGGCAGCGGTAGCAGCGAGCAACAGTAGCGGGAGTGGGAGCGGCGAGCAACGACAGTGGCAGCGGTAGTGGTAGTAGCGAGCAACGGCAACGGGAGCGATGAGCGACGACAATGGCAGCGGGAGCAGCGAGCAACGACAGTGGTAGTGGGAGCAGCGAGCGGCGACAGTGGCAGCAACAGCAGTATAAGCGAGTAGCGATAGTGGGAGTGGTGAGCGACGACAATGGCAGCGGCAACGGGAGTGGCGATAGTGGCAGCGGCAACGGAAGCGGCAATAGTGGCAGCGGCAACGGTAGTAGCAAGCAGTGGCAACGAGAGCGGGAGCGGCGAGTAGGGTTAGGGTTGGGAAGTCATGAGAGGAAGGCTGATATCGGTACTTTAGTTGGTTCAATGAACCAACTAAAGCACTGGAGACCAAACCAGACCTAAAACGCTGGTTAGATCGCATGGTTTAACTCGAGCACTCACTCGAAGCGCTCGGTGCCTAGGCTCGGGCGAGCACCCAGGTGACGCCTCTTTAAAGCGCGCCGCCTAGAAATGAAATGAGGCGCTCGGGCCTCGCCTCGCCTTGCCCGAGCGCCTATTGAAATCATTGATAAGAACCCGACAATACTGTTACATCACTCAATCTCAATTATGTTATTGACTTTGATAGCCTCTTTCATGATTCATTCATCATCGATATAATAATAAAACTAGAAAGACAATAACATATGAACTGAATAACATGTAATATTTTAAAAATGAACAGGTTCATGAGGTTACCTCTAAATATTCTATTTAAAAGCAAGGTGTTATATTACCTTCCAAAAGGTGCATTGCACAAGTATGCAATGATGACCTACCTTTTGTTTTAAGAGAAAAATGTCATCTTCTCCAGTATCTTTCTGTGGAGTAACTGTCACAATTCCTCTCTTTAACTGTTCTAGCTCTTGTTTTAAGCAACGGATCTCATTTTGGTACTTCTTTATCATAGACTTTTCATCTATAATCTACATCAATAAATGAAACCTTAAGACAATTATATAAGTGAAATAAGACAAAACATAGAAGGAAATGTAAGATAGACAGACAAGGAATAACATTTGCTAGAAATTAAACTCCACTTAAGGAGTTGGTGGACTATTATCCTTAAGCTAGTCAAACATTTACTTAAGTCTGATGGACATACTTTATTTTGTGAAGCTTGAATCTCAATGCATTTTGCCCGATGGGCAAATTTCAGTGTGTTATGTGTCTCCTCTGCATTGCTTGATGATGGGGTTACTGTACAGATGAGCTAACAAAAGAAAAATAAATTCAGACTTAGCCCCTAAATTAATGATTTTGATTAAAGTTGCACAGTGAGTAACATCAACTTACAGAAACACGCCCTTGACCACTTAAAGATGATTGGAGGAGACGAGTTAATTTGGAATCTCTATAAGGGATATGTGTAGCTTTTCCATCAGTCAATTTTGCAATTACCTGGAAAATGAAGTAGTTTAGCAAATTTACAGGATGAATTAGATAAATAAAGATGTGGGTTTGCTCAACATTAGTATTACATTGTGATCAAGCACATTATTATATTTCAGTTCAATCTAATTAATGATTCCAATTTATGGCATCTTAATGAATTTATCATGCAGAATCCAACTATAATGAAAGAACTACTAAAATCAAGGTTCGCCATTTCGAGTATTGGACACATCTCAGAGATTTGTCAGGCTGGTACATATCGATCTGTACTAATGTACCAACACATGGAATGTTGGGGGCACGCTATGCCTTGGTCGCCAATCGAACCAGTCTGTACCACGCGTACCATACCAACTCGGGCAGTACAGCAAATGATAAGTAAAATTACAACTGAAACTAGATCATGTGAAGAATAAAGGATAACTTCGCAGGTTCAGTAGAAGCTTGCTGGATTGGTTTTGTTCCAGCTAACTATGCGTCACATAGCACAAGCTTAAAAGCATTTTCAAAGTGTGAAGAGTGAAAAATAATTTCCTAGTCTATTGAGTTCCAACTATTGATATTTTGGTTTGTCATTTCACAAAGAATTCCACAATTAGAAATAACTGTTTAGTTGACCAAAAGAGATGATTTTAGATTCAGCATTCATATAGGAGAAAGTTCAGCATATTATCCCTATATTGAATGTTTTAATGCTGCTCTAGAGAGGAACAAAGTTCAGTATGATATGGATTAAATGAACACCTCTTCATGCTCTTCAGTATGAAAGATTAACTAATTTATCCTTGTTGGTCCAATCATATTACAGTCATGTAGGATTAGTTGTTGCCTTTACACCCTTTTGGTCTTAGCTGTTCTTTATAAAATAAGCAAAATAACTCAAACTAAGTAAAGAAGCTAATGAGTAACAACCATGAAAGAAGCACTCCTAGCTAAATAAAAGGCTGCTAATCCCCGTAAGATTCATAATCAAATTACTGCTTTCAGAAAAATTCAGTAACCTGTATCATCATATCAAATAGCTCATTCTTGAATCATGAACAAATACATGTAGCAGTAGCCCATACTTGTAGGATCCAACAATTCTTTTAAAATCATTTGATAAGGAGTTTTTTGAACAAATAGTTTTGCTTTCAAGTTTCAACGTTAAACTTCTTTGTTCAACGACTAGATGTTAACATTAGTGTTAGTAGATGATTTTGTTTCCCATATATCCTGATCACCTATAAGTTTGTTATATAATGTTGATGAAATCAAAGGCTGCCCTAGCATAAAATATGCGCACATAAAAGCGATTTTAATTTCGTACCATACCGCCCAGTACGGGAGGTACATATCAGTCCGCTAGCAAACTGGTACGCGGACCACCCAATACCCAGTAGTATCAATGATATAACCCCATCTCGAACGATATAGGGCTGCATTGGATGGTAACGATCAAAATTTCGATTGTTACCATCCGGTACAAGTTAATAACGGTCAAAATCGACCGTTACCAAATGTAACAGTGCTCCAATGGTCAATTTGAATGTTACCTAAAGTGCACAAACCACCACATATCTTTTAACTAGATTATCCACTTTCAACTAACAATTAGATTTTAGGCCATCCAACATAAGAGTGTGATGTTATATCAAATGCAATAGTAAATGGTGGAACATTCTCTCCATATTTAATTGTTTTAGTCTTCCACAATTTACATTACTATCTTCAGCCTGATCCTCCTGCATTGGAAAAACGTATCATACTATGAGATGAAAACATTTAAAAACTCCAATCATATCCTTGTTATTCATCCATGGTTGGGGATAACCAGACAAACCATAAGTATGTAGAATCTGAAACCATCATCCTACCACTAATATAGCTATTCCTAACTGTAAGCCATCATGATATGCAACGTCTTTACAATTAAAAAATAAAGTCCAAGCAGGCCAACTTGAAAACCTTCTTTAACCCTAGTCTTGCATGAACACCTCAGTATGGAACAATTTAGTTCTATAGTTAGCTATGTAGTGCTTATATTATAGGCCCTATTGAATAGTTCCAAAATTTGTAGAATATCAGTTTCTAACATAATCATCTTTATGAGGGAAAAATTTTGGTTGCATCAAATGTTTTACTGCCACCTATATCCTAATTATTCAGCCCAGCTATTTCCTGCCAACTTCTAAATTGTAAAGGGATACTCACTTTCAGCTTGCTATCACAAAGTTTACAAAGAAGACTTGCTGTTTGCAGCCAAACCAGAGAGGATGTTAAGGTTTATCAAATTTGTAAGGTCAAGAAGTTCCAATTTCACATTTTTGACTCTTTCTCTTTAAGGAAGACTCTATGCTTGTCCTTGTCACACAACCTTCCGAGCAAAACTAATGGTGTCCTTCCCATCTCTTTCGTGCACCATGAAGTTGTCATAAAGCATTTTATTTAGGTTTATTTAGGTTTTCATGTTTGCAAATGTTTTAAAGTTTGATCAAGCCATGTGTTCGAACCCAAAATCCCATCACTAGTCCTGATCATTCTTATGTTATTACACCATAGAATATAGGTCAGAGCGTTCTTCTGAGCAGTTGTGCCCATCACCAAGCCTTAAACTTCTCAATAATACTTTTGAGTAGTCTTAAAACCTCATGAAGTTGTTTTTTTACATCTCAATTTAATAAAAGGAGATAAAAATTGAAAGAAGGAAATAGATAAAAGATAAAGAAACAAATGGATCAAACATGAGCCCCCAAAACAGAGCAGTCCACATACCTGTTTATGACCAAATCAGTATGTACAATCGGTTTCACACCAGTTCAGACGAAATGACATTCTTCTTTATAGAATCTAGACACATCCAAATTAACTATTCCAAAATCTTAAGATTGTGACCTTTGAAATAAGGCACATTAGCTTTCAATTTTTACTAATATATAGCATATATCGATCTTTCCAATTTTTTTCAAAAAAAAGCTTGCATACCACGGTAGACCCTGCTGGCTTTGGCGGGAGAAAGGAACAGAAACAGTGGAGTGTAGAAGGAAGAAATCTTTTTTAAGATGGTCCAAATATGTCCAGATAAGATCTATAAATGAGTTAGTAAGGTCATGAAAAATAATTTAGAGATAAGGAAAGCCCAAGGCAACTAGCTTAGAAATAATAAACAAAGGATTTAATGGATCTTGAATAATCTAGCAACAGATTTTTAAAATCTTAATGGCAGGAAATAATTCATCTTCAGGATATCTGATCTTACGTTGTTCCAACAAGTGTCATTGAAGGACCTTAAAGTGAAGGAAGTTAATAAAGTACATTTTTATGCAATTGATGGAGCACAAATTTAATGCTTCCGAATAAATTGGCTTGGTTCATTTAATAGAAATAAACCTATGTAGATCAGGTTTCCTTGGCAAGGAAACAGATTCTATTGGAATCTAGGTGGAAAGTACAACATGGTACACTGCTGAGAAATATTAAAACTTTTCTCAATGTCAGTATCTGTTGGTGTGTTCAGTACACCAGCATAGAGATGCCTAGGTCAATATAGACTGTTAAATCCATATTCCTTAGCCTTCTCCAAGCACAAAGTTCAATGTTGTTTAAGCTAATGTTTCACATACTAGAACCCAAATTTTAAAATAGAATAGAAAAAATTAAAGATGTGCCGAGTCTGCCAACACATATACATCGTCACAAAAAAAGTGAATTAAAGAACAGAGATATAATAATTCTAGGAAACCAACATATTTAGATATAAAAATTACAGAAACAATGGTTTTAAGATCTTACAGTTCCAAGAGTTAAGAGGCTTTTATTTATAAAAGACCCCTCTCTCCGACGGACTCCAGTAGTTTCAGCTCTTGAGCTCTCAGAACCTGCCAGATCGATAAGGTTCTGCATTTAACAAAAGAAAATAATTAAATAATTAATGGATTGTTTCATAATGATCTAGTGACAATAAAAGGATACATCAGGATGAAGAAATTCCAGCATCGAAGTCAAAAAATGGAGTCTATGCTAGAAGCATATAAATGATGAAGTAATGAAAAACAAGAATACAACTAGATAAAGTTTTAAGGCATGAATGAGATAAACTTACAAGCTGCGAAAAATTAACTGCTCCCCCTTCACTGCAATCACCACAAGAGCTACTTTCTATTGTCTGTAAGGAAGCCATAAATTTATGTAACAAAAACTTAAATTTGCAATTACTTCAGGCATCCATTAAGGATTGTTGATATTGGTTCATAAGTGATCTGAAAGACTCTGATGTTAAACCAATTTTCCTACTCAAGGTTAATAAATACAATAATAAAAAGTGTAACTGCAGATGCAAATTCTAAGAGTTCAAAATTGAATCCACTGCTCAAGGTACCAATACCACTGGCATATATGTGGAAGAGCTGTAAACAGCAACTGAAAATATGGAGAACTCCTGAACTAACTAATTTTTGAGTTATCCATCTTTCATGAGCTACATATTACAAAATAAATTAAAGCAAGTAGTTCACAAATTTTATTAAATTTGTAGAGAATGCAGGAGGTAATTTTCATGGCAGTAGTTAACAATTCCCCAGGCCTAGAGATCTGGCAAACCAGTTGCAACTTTATCTTCTGCAGTTTTCATAAATAATAGTTAATTCTTAGTAGCCAATTATGCCAGTAAAAAGGGAAAAATCTCTTCAATTATATATTTTTATGCAATCAACCCTATTTTATGGATGAAACAAAATAACAGCTGACTATATTTAGCTCTGTTGAAAATTGCATCATCTATTTTTTTCAGCTTATCTTGTTTCCACATAATATATATTACAAGTCTTGTTTCCAATTATCTCCAAAAATTCTATTTATTTCAATGTATAAATGTCGTTTATTTGTTTATAATGTGACGAACATTGTAGCAATAGCCCCTTTGGGCCTGTAGCAACAAAAACCCAGACCTTTTTCTTTTTCAGATACCATGCTTACCAACATGATCCATGGGCCATTTGGGTAATATGCTTCACATAGACAGCCATGAATAACATCTAGAATAACAAGTGTCATGCAATTGGGCCATATTACCATACCTCTTAAGCAATTGAATTGATTACCTTTTAGAACACTGGTGGCTTCTAAGTAGATTCTTCTCAATTCCACATCTATGAATTGCTGATTTTAACAAAGTAATTAAGTTGAGAATATACCTTGACTTCTAATCTCACCCAATTAATTGTTGGTGAGGGACTTTCTTATGTCTGAAGTCAATTTAGGGCCATCTTTTTCAATTTGTAGGGTCCATAATGATTCACAGATTTCAAAAAATTAAGATCAGCAAAGATTAAACAAGTTGATTTTTTTCTTTTAAATTTCAACATCCTACAAGAGTTGATTCTTTAGTCCAGATTTTCAAAAGGAAAAATTAAGATAGAAGAACAAAAATGCCTTCATATTGGTGAAAATAGTCTCCTTCCAGTGCCATTTGACCTTCAATAGCTTATTCCTCTCTTATTTTAAAATCAATTTGCTTTTAAACTTTCTATCTACACTATCATCCAATCCCCCCTATTTCATTGATGATTTTTATGTTAGTTTTTGATATATGATGCTGCACTTTTTATGCAGCAACGGAAATCACTTTAATATTTAAGCCCAGCAAACTAATCACAATAAATAATTTGAAATGCTTCAAGCAGAGCAATATACTTAAAGAGTAATGACTGTTGTACTGCCCAAAAAGGTATGAAACGGGCGGTACATGCCGGTCTAGGCATGGACCGATACACGGGCCACCCCGTTTCAGGCTGCCCAATCAAAATAATTAAAAAAATAAGGTAAAGCAGTGAGGCCATCCAATTCAGCACTAAGAAAAGGAAAAAAACCAACTTAGGACACACGTTCCTGCTGCCATCATCACTGACATTGCCTCGCCGCTGCCCCTGCAGCTATTTCACAATGTTGCTGCCACCACTGCTACTTCGTGATGCCGCTGCTACCATCGCTGCTTTGTGAATCCTTGGTCATGTCGTTGCTGACACATTCCTTCTTCTTCCCAAATACACTCCTACCTCTTCTCCACCTCTTTTTCCTTCTTCCTTCTTCGCCACTTCTTCTTCCTTCTTATATTGCTTCCTCTTATTCCTTCTTCCTTCCTCCTTCCTCCTCTGACTCTCCACTGCCCCTTCCTCTTCTCCCTCTTTTTCTGCCTCTTCAAAACAACAGTAAATACCGATGTACTGTGTGTCAGTACACAAGTACTGACCAGTACATACCAGCTCGGTACATGAGACGGAAATCCTTGTTAAAAACCAACCATTAAATATGGCATAGATATTGTATGGAAATAAATTATATGCTCAAACACTATCATTTTATGTCCCGTTGTAGAGAAGAGAATGTTAAGAACTAGAAACCAAGGAAAATTTACCATATCTAAGGGATGGGATAGCATGGTTTGAACTTTGAAGTACCACCAGATACAGTGATAGACCAGCCCATTTTGGGCCATACACCTTACAGGGTGCAGTAAAAGGGGTTTAGGGAAAAGATTTTTATATATTGGCACGATAAATAATCCATTTTATATTATGCTAAGCAAGGTTCGCAATACCGTACCGTACCGGTATTTCGACCTGGGTTCGGTACCAGTACGGTATGGTATACCGAGTGGTACACCCAGGTGTACCGAGCGGTACACTCAGGTGTGCCGAGCACTGTAGCACTACAGTGCTATAGTGCACTCGGACCGGTAACAGGTGGTCCACGTACCGGCAACCGGTCGGACCAGTACATACCACCCGTACCAGACGGTACAGTTCGGTACTGCAGACCCTGATGCTAAGCTTGGCATGGCTATATTGGATTGCAGGGCATGAAAAACGTTAGGTGCTTCCAAATAATACTATTATTATAGTTTGTGCGTTGCTTTTCTTTTTCCTTACTGATGAAATATCCCAGACAGAAAAAAGCTGGTACCAGACTAGATCTAAAATGTTATTTTGGTATATAAAAATTAACTGGTAAACGATAATCTATCGAATAGAAGATACAGAATGCTGGTTTATTCTTCTTCTTTTATCTCATTTTCTTTATTTATGACATTGACATGTGTTGAAGGATTCAAAATATTTCTTATGTTGTTTATTTCCTTGTAAATCTTTTCTAATTTGTAGGATTTACTAAGGATAGCTTTCTATTTTTGTAGTTTTCTGATTTTGTGGAATTTTTTATTTTGTAAAATAGTTTCCATTTTTCTACAATTACGTGCTTTATGTTTTGTAAGTTTGGTATTAAATGAAATAAGAAGAATTCATTTCTACATTCTTTCTACTTTTTTTGGGATGGTATAAAAACCATTCTGAAAAAAAGGCATGAAGACATGTTTAGTGCATTTATTGCTCAAGTACCTCCCTTTCTTTCTCGTGTCAGAAACTTATTCAACCTAATTCTAAGCCAATTCTGCCTTTAATCAACCTATGACTCAATCATTCACTAGTGAACTTCAAAGCATTTAACCTTCCTTTAGTGAAATAGAAGTTAAGCTCTACTGCCTTGAAAATGAAATTCTCAGAAGATTATATAACTTATAGTCAGTATAGAATCCTTTATTAATGAAACCAACTATCAATCACAACTGAAACAGGAAAGCCTTGGAAAAAAACAGAAAGAACCATGAATTTAGATAAATGTTCAGGGATGTGGAATGCTCCACAGACCAAAAATTAAGACTTTAACATTTGGGAACAAATATGTCATGCTAACAGTACAAGTCTCCTTAGATTATCTTAGCATCTTAGTTGGTCGAGTATTAAAATTTGAAAGGTCTGTCACAAAGATAAACTGGGAGAATTGAAATAAATAACCCATTTAAGTGCAGGATAGGTACCAGTGTGAAAATTGTATGACTTCGACTGCTTAGTAAATTGAAGTTATTTGATCCAACATGTCTATGCTCTGTCATCAACTCAAAAGTTACCATCGTTAGCATGATAAAGAGGCATCAAAAGCATAAAACATGAAAAAGTTTATATAAAGCAATTAACTTTCTAACCTAACAAGCATTCGTCTACTGGAAAAAGGTACTTTTTTTCATGCCATTACATTTATCTGTTATGGATTATGATTGAACCAAGTTCCTCTCTCATGTGGACTGTTGCTAGATGGTCATAAAAATTAAAAGAATGAACAGTATTTGATCCTTGCAAGACAAATAAAATTAGGGGCTAATAAGATATTTTAGCTACTGGAAACAGCTGACCTCACAAATTATGCAGATTATTTTTTTTTCTTTTGTGACTATATATATAT